CGTGAAATAAAAGATGTTTTTTAAAAATAAATATTGATTTTTTTTTTTTTTAGATAAAGATAAATAATTAATGAAAGGATTTTATTTTAGGAAGATAAGAAAATATGATTTTTTTTCTACTGTCATAGGACTGTAATATGTCACATATTACTAATTAAAATAAAATGTAACACGTAGAAATCGAACGATATGTATATGACAAACGCTAACAATACAAAATAAGAATGTACATGGGAAGACGCATTTTAGCGCTTCACATAATTAAAAGATTTTAATTCTCAGAAAACCATAGTGTGCACGTGTAAGCGTGTGAGTCACTCCTTTTACCGAACGATGTTAATATTCCATGATTCACATTTAAATAAAAATATATGTGTGTAGGTATGTATATGGGTATGTATATGTATATCGCACGCTAAAACAATCGAACGACGGATACACGGACGTGACACATCTTGTGGAACAGCTGAAGGGGGGCCATTCACCAACATATAAAAGGAGATGGACCGGGTCAACACCAATTTCAGACGTGTCCAGCCGTTTAGTACAAACACCCCGCTAACGATTGTCATTTTCCTGTTAATATTGTCTTTGCTAATTTTTATCTAAGTGTTAAATATAATATTAAATACTGTCAGGGCCACATTTAAGAGGGGGGGGGGTACTGGCTACAACTGCCCCGGGCGCCAGTTTTTTGGGCGCGCAAACATTTTGTGGTCGGAAATTTGCTCACTTGTGAATTATTGAACTTTTAAAACTATTTTGAAGTTATTTTTTTTTTGTTTTTAATAACAACATCATAAATTAATGTTAATGTATTATGCTGTTTGGAATTTAAACAACTATGAACTAATGTATTTATAGCAATATAGCTATCAGCGATCCAGAATATTATTAATATACCTAATAGTAGTTCCCAAATTTGTTGTGATAATATCAATAAACAAGTTATTTATAATAATACGGCTTAGGTACCTATTATGTTATTGAGTGCGGCGTGCGGTGGCGTGCCGACTACACAAAAATAGCATTGATTTTAAAATACCTATCGACAAGGTTCATAAGGATCTATTTCCTATATTTTCCGTGGGTAGGCCCCTTAGAGGGGCGCCAATTTTTTTTTTTTGCACCGAGGCGCAATATGTTTAAATGCGACACTGAATACTGTAAAAGTATTCTGTACGACTTAATTATTGAACTTACCCCATTAGACTTAGATTTATAAGTTAAAACAAACATTTATGTAGTACTGGCAAACAACGCCCAGCACGCTACAGGGCTGCAAACATTTAAAAAGTGGTAAAAATATACATATATTATATTAACAGTGAGGAGCGTAAAGGTTTGTAAGGAAAATATGTATAAATGTCTTACATATGATACATAACTGATATAAAGTGTAAGGTTATCAAGTAAATTCGTAATGGTCCTCAGTTCTGAGGAAACTTTAATAATATAGGTAACGGCTTGTAGCAGCTGTACAAAGTGGAGGCAACAGAGGTGTAGCCGGGCAAACAGAAAGAAACTGACAAGACTAATTTTATTGAAAAAAAAAATAATTATGTTTACGATAGAATACCATTTGAGGCATTAGATTATCAAATATCGATAATCCACAAGATTTTTTATTATTCTTCATTAGTAACATAATTTAAATTCGTCAACAATAAAATTAATTTTTTTGTATTCATGTTAATTTTATATTTTTGTTACATTCATATTATGTTGTCATCTACCCGCTAAACAAAGTTACCATATATGATATGTCAAATAGTCTTACATTAAATTATAATTTTATTTTTTACTTAATATTTAACCGAACATTAGTTTATCATAGGTACCAAAAGTAATAAAGATTGAATAAAATGTATTATCGTTCAAAGTTCCAAAGAAAAACATTAAAAAAACTCGTAAACATAATATGTTTTTGAGATCGAAAAATCATTATTTTGTGAAAATGTACGAAATACTAATGGTGAAACTTACATGGCGAACCTATTTTTACTTATGCTTATATAAAAAACCATAAGTTCTGTTGTAACTTATAACTTAAACAGTGGTGGTTTTACGGGGTGGGGTCTGGACCTTCCTTCTAAGTCACGCGTTTAGATTGTGATATATATTTTATATTTTAAATATTTTGTCTTGTAACTAATTGTGTTAATTTTCTTTTGTTAGTATATTAATTAAATTTTAAGACTAAGTGTTAAATTATTAATGGGTTAAACATTTTTTGTCTTCACATATTATAAGATAATGTAAAAAGATCCCTCCCCAGAAAAAATTTAAAAAGTAGCCACTGAACTTAAGTACACATGTGAATGTGAAACTTAAAATTTTTCGATCATTCAATTAAATTAAAGTACCTAGGTCATTAGTTCGTAATAGTTATACCTACTTCTTGTTGATTGAAGCAATATTTTTCCATATTATAATTTTCTATATTTAATAGTCTATATTTGAATATAACCTTGGTGGCCAATCCGAATGTCCATAATTTATTTATCAATTGTTGTTTCATTTTTTTTTATGCACCAAAAAAAATGATTAATTTACATCAATAAATAATACTCGATCGTATAATATTAAATTTAAACTCAAATATTTGCTAGTTTGATTTTTATATTATAATAAGTGTAATAAAAAACTTATTTAAAAGTGTTCACTTATATGTAACATTTGAAATGGTTTGGGTAATATATTTAATTTTTATTTTCTGTTTAATTACGAAGACAGTGATGACAATTAAGAATTGGCTAATCAGTTATTTTTATTTAAGGAAAAAATTTAAATTTTGAATTAAACGGTTATTCAGACATTATGTGCATAATTTTACCAGCATTTTGAACACTTTAAATAACCTCCAGTTAGTGGAGGGGGAAAACAGGCAGCCTTTTGCATATTATAAAAAAGATGTCTGTGCATACCTATGACCAATCGTTCAAGAACTATACCGTCAGTTAGATAAATACTGACAATAATAATGATCGGGCGAGGGTCGCTTTACGAATGGGCTACTTGCTCGTAATGTAATACCCTACAAACTACCGCTGATCCTCATAATTAATGCTGTATTTTTATTTATATAATTATTTTTGTCATCTACTAGATATTTTTTACCGTACGATGAAGAAGATTTTTAACAATGAATTGAGACATGCTTAAAAATAAAAAAATATAGAAATAGTACCTATAAACCTAAATACGATCAATACCATGAAGACCAAAAAGTATGAATAAGACTATTATATTCTTGTGGAAATTGCTCTTAGAAAATTAAAAATATTTCTACGTCAATTCTGTAATTTATATTATTTTTAAAAAGGTATTCGGCAAATTCAATGAAATTCGAAAAGCTAAGACCGGTTGCTAAAATGGTACCATTGTACAACACTGTACACAATAAGTAAAATATTTGAACTAATTATTCATTGACCACTAAGATAATAAGCAAGTAATTTAATTTAAACTTAAGATACCTTAAAGTTTTTGGTTTGTTAGAATTATGCAATAGATGATAGGAATATCATAAAATATAAGTATATAATTTGGTTATTAAATGTTAAAGGAAAAAGTTTTATTATTAAAATTTATTTGTTACTAATTCTTAATGATCAATAAACATATTTAAATTGAAAGTCAGAATAAGAATCATGGCAATTAAAACATCAATTTAATTAATAATTAGGGAAAGTTGTTATGAAAAAAAATATTGTGACAATTAATCTATATGTTAAGCACTAAATTAAAATATTTGAAAACATTTTATCATAATTTATCTGTGTGCTTATTTATCATTTATTATCATTATTTAAAAATATTTATGAAAAATATTCAAGTTATTACATGGATTAAGAATAATAATAACAGTACAATATAATTTTTTTTATATGTTTATGCTGTATTATAATATAGTATAGTTAATAAATGTTTAGATATAATTAATTATTATTTATAAAGTATTAATATATTCATAAACTTCAATGTACATATATAATATTATTAATTTTATGTAAAATATTTTTTTGTTTTTTCAAAATATTCAAATTTATTTTAAGCATATTAAATTAATAATGAAATAGGTTTTTTTTTATCAAAGTAACATAATTTAGTACTTTATATTATTCAAAGTAGAATTAAAAAAAAATCATACATTTACAATTGAAATCTATGTATTTTTAATACAAAATATGTAAGTATTATAACTATAGTCTAATATGCTTTAATTTAAAAAAAGTATTAAAAGATGATTCCAACAATATTTTAATGGATTTTAAAATAATCTAATCGTTATTAATTTTATTGCTTTACATTTTATATTTAAAATCTAATATAATTTTCAAGAGAATAATTATAAAATTGTTCAGATTGTACAATAATTAACATCAAATAAAATTAAATATCTAATGTAGAGTGCTAATAAATATTGTAAAAAATATTTTATAATTATAATTTGTATTATTTTATGATGCCTAGTTAATGAATATACAATATTAATGTAATTTATAATGAATATAATAAATGTTAAAAATGTACATGTTAGGTTAATAATTATTTAATAATTAATCTAATAGTAGGTAGTTTAATTTAACATTGCACTTGCAAATTGTGTATTAATATAAAAATGAATTATAAAGTTTTTATATACATATTGTATTTGGTAAATATTTATATTTCATGAGTTAATAATTGTGTAAAATAAACTTAAACATAAATGTTTAATACATCACAAAGTCATCTTAAAATAGTTAAATAAAAATAATTTTATGATAATACCGGATTTTATTCTGGTTTACAGCAAATACAAAAAATTTCTAAAATATACATTTTTACTATGAGTATTCTTCTTTGTTATGTATACAAGCTACAGATTTTTCTACTGACAAAAAACTAATTATTTACATTTTATACTAAAATATTGGACAATGTTGTAAAAATAACTAAAATAGTAAAATTAAGAGAAAAAAATGAGCAAAATAAAAATAAATCACGGTCTCTAATAAATCATTAAAAACAAATAAAAATCTTTACGTTTTTTTTTTTTTTTTTTGTAAACAAAATATGCATTAATGAGTATATATTGAAGTAAAGAATGTAAGAAAATTTAAAAAAATAAAACTATAATGTGTTTACAACAGTCCAATAGTATTACTACACTCTCAAAATTTCTAAAGATTTGTTATAACAAATGGCGATCCAATCTGGCTGAGTGGCACCCCATTGAATTTGATTAATTTCACCTTCTGCAGCAGTATATGCTAAAATAGGATCTTCTATGGCTCTTGGCATTTGTTGTATATCCCATATCAAGGCTTGATGATCATCACCTAAAAAAATAAAATTAAGTTGGTAATATTATAGATTTAATAAAATAAAGAAATAATTACGCATAAAAACATACCTGCAGTGCATATATGACAAGATGAATGAGGAGCCCATGCGATTCCGTTAACACAGGCTCTATGGTTGTTTAATCTAGCGACAGGAGTACAAGGAACTCTGACATCTAATATAATGACCTTAAAACAATACAAATATAATTTATGTAAATAAGTAAATAAATCAAAAACTATTATTTACTTCACAAGCATCCATTGCTACAGTGGCAAGGTAATTAGGATCTTGCTTGTTCCAAGCAAGCCTAAGTAATGGAGAGTGCTGAGGATCTTCATAAATTATAGTAGAATGCTCTAAATGCCGTAGATCAAACATTCTTACTGAACCATCAGCTCCTAATCAATAAATTATAATTTACATAGTAATGTAATTAATATTATTAATAAAAGTAAGAATTTTTTGTATTTTCTTACCAACTGAAGCAAACATATCTCGGCCACCTCCGGCACGACTAAAAGCTATATCATATACTTCTTTATCATGAGCAATTAATTGAGTTTTTACATGACCAGCAACAGAATTTATTCGCCCAACAATCTATAATAAAATTTAATTAAATTATCTGAATCCATCACTAGGAAATATATATTTAGTATGGTAAAAATACCTGGGTTGTTTCAAGACCCCAAATTGTACAAGTAGTATCAATACTTGATGTACCAATTAAGTTAGGATCAACTTCATTCCAGTCAAATGATGTCAATGGAGCACAAAAGTCTGAGTTTTTATTCTGTAAATAATACAATATGGATATAATTAACCTAATGTTATATTATAAGTTATCCTATTTAAATAAAAATTAACAGAATTTAGTTTTAAAAAATGTTAGTTTTCAAAAGTAATTAATTTTAATTTAAATTAAAATATAATATATGATCCAGGAGCGTACATAGGAATTATTTAGAGGAGGGGGGGTCCAAAATTTTTATTTTATCTGTTCTCCAATTATAATTATAGTTTAACTCAATACCAACAAATTACTGTTAATATACTATAGTATGATTTATACATTATAGGTATATTATATAATCTATAAAATTTGTATATTGAAGATAATAGGAAATTAAAATACATTATATACTATTACTATACTATTTACTATTAAATCGTTGAGTACGTAGAAATTTCAATGGGAGGATCCGAACCCAAACACCCCCCTCCTACCTTGGGTACGCCCTTGATATAATCTATCAGTAAATACATCATAACACGTGTGATTTACTTAGTACTAATATGTATTTACTGAATAGTTAGAAATTTTTTTTTTTTATATAAATTTATATATATATATATACACATACATTTTTTGTTCACTTTTAACAAATAATTTATTGACATGTAATATTATTATTGATATAATATTTTGAATGAATAAATAATTTGAAACTTCTGAAGATTTTTTTTTTTTAATGCTACTATATTAACATTTAAGAATAATTTATATCAAGTTTTCATTTATTGTTGAATCATTTTTATAAAATAAAATAATGTTAAATAAAGATATAAAAAACATTAAAATGTATATTAAAATCATAAAATATGTGGAAAAAAATTATTTTTGTAGCAGAGGCAACTATAAATATAGAATTAAGAGATATTTATAAATAATTTTTTGCAGCTAGTCATACACAAAATCTATTATTTTTTTTTTTTTTTTAATTATTTAGTAAGCACTGATCATTATGTAAACACAAAATCATATTCAAGCACAAACTAAAAATTGGTCAAACACAAGTATCAAAGAAGGGTTTTTTATAATGATAACTATAGAATTTAGTTACAAATAATAAAATTTTATTTTAGTTATAAATTGGTGACTATAACTCATGGATTTACATATTTACAGTATTAACTTATCTTTTTTTATTTATTTAAAATATACTTATTTATATTTGGGTAACAATAATTTAATTTAATGTATTGATAGATTTGTGATAAATCTGTGTATCTTCGCTTTCTACAACTCATTATAGATACGATAATAAGTTACATTATATTTTAATACATTTATGAAGTTTATAAAAATATATATTATTATGTTAAAACATTTGAAAAATATGGAAAACATTATTTTCAACAAAATTTCAGTGCAATATTAAAACAATTTAAATAAGAAAATAATAAGTAATTAAACTTTTGCAACACACCTAATTATTTTTTCCTCAAATATTAATTACTAGAACTACCCATTAATAGATACTTATTATTTTATTTGTTAATTTCTTCATGATTTTATACACCTTGGTCTCTAATGCAAATGTTAGTTAATTAACTTTGGAAAAAATAATTTTTATTATATTTTTTATATAATAATTCATATATTATATAAAACCATACAATACAAAATATAAAGTAGTGGTAGGTCATATATAAGATAGTTTCTTCAGTTTTAATGAAAATACAACGAAGAATTGCTATAACTATTATAGATAAAGTAAATAAGTAAATACTAACATTATTAAGAATGCATTCAAGTCTTGTTTCTGGTTCACCTGCTCTCCAAATTCGCAAATAATCCCCACTCGTAGCAAGCAAATCAGGAAAGACTCCTTTCTAAAATATTATAATTCATAAAATAAAATAATTATAAACATTAAGTTTTAATATAACAAATAAAATAAAGAACATACACTATCAGGAATCCACATAATTTTTGTTGTTGGATAAGGATGGTCAAATGTGCTTTTAGGACTGAATTCTGATACTTCTTCATCCAACGATACAATTTGTACTTTATTATTGTACTCCTCCACAAAACTTCCAATGGCTAATCTACAGTATAATTTTAAAAGAACTTAATAAACAAGGTTGACGAAACTTGCATTGACAAATTATAATTACTTACCGAAATCGCTTGTCGGGTCGTACTGACCAGTTCATACTGTACAATGGCCAAGGAGCTTCATGTTTGTAAATTTCTTTACGTTTTGGTGTAGATCCATGTACAGCCATTTTAAGAGTTAATGCTAGTTTTGTTCTGAAATGAAAAAATTTCAAAAATACAATACAATAATAATTATTTTTATTGAATGTGAAGCAAAGGACAGCTTGCAGGAGTAAGGGAAAACTGGAAGCTTAACTCTAAAGGTTAAAAAGCAAGTCACTATAGTTAAGCCACTTCTGGATTGTAGTAAAAATGATGTACTTACCGTTATGTCAGGAGTGACAGCGTCAATGCAGTCGTTGGTGTAGTCTAGTAATGGACGTTATTACTGTTGGCGTGTGTACGTTCGGACCAGTGTTGATGGCGTTGTTGACAATTGCATATCTCACGATTCGAACACGGTGAACATGCGTGTTTGCATGCGACTGGTCAAGCTGCGATAAGTTGCGAGCAAAATCACTGGAATATTGTTCGAAACGCAACAACCGTATCGCTAATATTAGTATTAAAAACAGTTAACAAGGACTAGAACGATCAAAAAATATCGTTGCAAATGATGAATATTTGTTTAATTTTATCGCCAGAAAGACATCGCGTTGATAACTACAGTCGGTCCGACTGTGGCGTTGATGACCGGGAGGAGTCGGAGGACGGAAGAGGGAACGCTTTTGTGTTGTTATTATTATTTCGCATGTACGGGGCGCGCGCCCGTCTGAATGCGATCGTAATTATTATAATAAATCCGTAACGATTTACGCGACGCTAGTGTGGCTAACGCATTTGCGGTAAAGGAGAAAACGACACAACGGTGAAATTAAAAAAAATCCAAAAACAACGCTCCGATTAGACGGACATAAACAAACGCCGCCGCGAACCGTGATAGCAACCAGTCTGGAAGGGTAATGAAGAGGGTTACAGCGTTCGAGAACAGATACGCTTGTTTTTAACCAATGTTTTAAACCGAAATGTGGTATGCCGGTTGGAGGCAACCAATATTACCGATCGGATATGGGTCGCTGCTACCACCGGCGCCGAACGACGAGCACGCAGTACGCGCTCCCTTGTGCGTCCGGGCGCCAGTGATTGTTTTTGTTTGCTTATCAACGGCGTTTCTTCGAACCCGTGATAATGGTATCATAAAACAAAAATAAGACAAATGTTTGTCAATAACAAGAACAAATTGGAAAGTTACATTCTTAACATTTTTAATATACCTTTGAGCCGTACTGACAAATATTGAAATAAAAATAAAATACAAATTAATTTCCATTTCGTTGGTTTTCAAAAATCACATTACTATAATGTGTAGTAATGTGTATGATACATATTATTATATATTCATCGGTCTGAGATAAGAGGTATATATTTGATGTAAAATATTAATAAAAATTGTAATATGTATCACATTATATGTACATAATATAAAATAGCTTATTCAATGAACACCCGAGGACTTAATAAACGTAACTCCAAAGGCTATTGAATGCATACAGAATATAGGTGTTGATCTAAAATAAATTTTAATATTTGTATTTTAATATAAGTATTGTCTATACTATTATTCTTTTTAAACAAACTTATTATAAACGAGTACTGTGCAACATGTATTGGTGGGTAAATGTGCCAGATGAGATGATATATGAAAAAAAAAAACGATCGAGTACTCGAGTGGAGGCAAATTGTTGATAGCGAGACGAGGCAACAGTCGTCATTGATCGTCGCCAACGGATCGTCGGACGTTACGTTTTGGAGAAACCGTGATAAGTTACCACCACCCATCCGCGACGCGTCGTCATTGGATCGTTCGCGCGGTAACGTTCCTCGGAGACATGAGCAACTCAGTTTTCGTTTTTCCGTTAACTTTGCTCGGCATTCGCCCCTCGCCGTTCTGCCGTGCGTCCGTCTCGACCGTCGTTAATCTCAGCAGTCATTTCCGCCGCTGTCACATCCGTAGCTAACCTCCGCAGTCGATCTCCACCGTCGTCGCCATCACAACCATTTTAGAAATCTCTACATTGTGTCCACTGTCGACATGTCGTCGCCCGATATAAACATGGAATGCTCGCCACAGTCCAACGAACCGTTATCGTCGTCAATATTGGTTGACTGTGAGCCGTCCACGTCGTGGCAGAACGTCGTCGGACCCTCAGGCACCTTGCGACCAGTGCAGTCACCACTGTCGTCGCCATTGCAGACATCATCACAACTACCGCCGCCGCCACCACCACCACCACCGCCACCATCATCAACACAGCAACCTGCGCCAGAGAAAATGGATGCAATGGACTACGTTGAAAAACTGTTAAACTGGGAATCGTTCGGAGAAACGGTTGAATATTACCGATTTCAGAGGAATATTTCGGTGAGTTTTTGCTGTAAATAATTTTTTTTCCATCTTGTTCATTTGTTCAATTGCTTTATACCTTCTGTTTACTTCATTTGCTGATCCCTTACTGCTCGTTTGAAACAAATTTTGGAGCAACAGTTAACTTTTTCTTCCCTCTTGCAAATTGTTAGGCTGTTGACTCCGACATGATTTTGTTTCTTCACCGTTACTCCTCATTTGCTGCTTAGAGTCTTACATTTTTCATCCAATGATCACTGATAACCAAAGATTTTAAATCTCGATGCAACACCTTGTTATGATTGTGATGCATCAGGAACATATGATTGTTAAACTTCTTGGTATTATCTAATTATATGTAAGTATAATAAAATGTTGGTGCATATTTGTGAAATTACAATACAAATTAATATGAAATAATATAAATGACTTGACCTTACTTGTTGATCATTAATATTTTTTGATTTTAAAATTGTTTTAATTGAATTTACTAATAGTTGGTAGAACTATCAAGGCTATTATTTATTAAATAACATTAATACATATTACTCAGATCAACTAAGTCTTAAATACACATCTGAAAACAACGATAAACTATTAAGCAGATTTATGTATATAGTATATATAAAAAATAATTGAAATTATTTAACCAAGCTTTTTGGTTTACCATTTTATGTTAATGTGGCTATGGTTATTTTCTATAGTATTTAATTAAATCTATGAAATTAGTTTTGTAATTTTTTATTGATATTTCAACATGAATATTATTTTTAATAATAATAATTTATTTTTATTCTCTATTTAAAAACATAGTTATTTTATCTAAGATAAATTTGTCTTAGAATTTTTTTTTTTTTGTAGATCTTATAAGGATGGCAAAATATTTTAAAATAACCATTTTTAATTTTTAATTTTATAAAATATGTTTAAGTTTAAATAATTGCCTGACAACCTAATATATTTTTATGTTTTTTTTTCAGAAATTAAAAACTGATGATGCAACTATTCCAGACAAATCAGCTATAGAGTTCATAAACACAAAATATATTGAAAACAATTTTAGATCGATAGGACTGAATAAAAAATTTGACAAAAATAATATAATGGAAGCACAAAAAGAATTTGAATCGTAAGTAAAACATTATATCAATTACCATGAAAATGTATTTTTTTTTTAATTTCTAACTTTTTTGTTTTAGTTTTGAAAATTGGTTTGTTCGAAAAAATAATTTTGCTGCTATAAAAAATTTTATGATTTCTTTTCGTTTACCATTGTTTTGCCACCTTTATTTATGTCTTTATTCAGATCATAATCGTCAACAATTGCATTTATTTTTGAATAAATTTAAGTATTTGTTTATGAGCTCCAAAGGTGCTGCCTTACTTGAAGAGTTAAAGAGTGTTACAGAACAAAAAACTTTGCCATCTCGTCTAAAAGCTCTCCGGTATAACAACTTTTATTCATAATAAATTAAATTTGTACTTTTATATTGATGATTTTAATTTATAAATTTAGGGGAAGCAAATTTGTTTATCAAGTTTCTCCAGGCTTTTTCAATCAACTTATCAATTTTTTTAAATATCATCATACGATTAGATCGGTTTGTATATTTAAATGTCATATTATGGAATAGTTTATAAGAGTTAACTTAATTTTGAAATGGTAAAACCATTTATTTTCTTTGTATTACATAACAAAATTGTATATTAAACATTATAACTCTGTATCATAGTTAAAGTGTAAGTAATTATTAACTAATTTAGTTTTGATAACTCAAATTTCAAGGGAGGTAAAAATGAATTGGACTTTTATATTTTTTGAATTACATAACTTAAATTTTTTTTATAAGTAAAAACAAATTTGAGTTATCTATTATTATGAGTATATTTGTAAACTACAATAATTAAAATACATAATGAGTTAGTATTGTAATGAGTAAGTTGTAATTATTACAACTAGAAGATAACATTTTTTAACACTATATATATAATTTTTACAATTTAGAAAAATAACTTGATAAGAGTTTGACATTTGGGAGTTTTACAGCAGTGTTCAATTTTTCCTAAGTATTTTAAAAGCATCTCACCTGCATCTTCAGTTTTTACAATAAACACTCTTAATTTATCAAGAAACACCTTTTATATATGAATAGATATATGTATGTATATATGTGATTAGATTAAGTTAATTGGTTTACTATGTTCCAACTTATGCACTATACGTGGATCATTGAGATATTTGATGTTCAATTATTATAAATGTTAAAAATTTATATTATTCATAGTTTATAAATTAATACATTTTATTATGCAAAATATTTTTATACTATGGTTAAGTATACATTTTGACCTATAAAGTTAATTACTATTCCAATAATTATATATTATATATATACATTTAATTCATATATTTTATAGTATTCCACATATATTTTTAAGTATTTATCACTGTTATTTTGAATTATTAAATATTATATTTATATTTTTTTAAATATTTGGATGTGTTATATTTTTCTAGTTTAATTTATTTTAATATAATTTTTTTGTATATAATACATATGTATGTATGTGTATGTATTTGTTATAGGTATTTCAAGAGTGGTTTGATGTTATTTTTACCAATAATAATGATCCTTTTATGATATATGAAAAATATTATAATAAAACCTTATCAAATATAAATAACAAAATTATGACAAATCATCCGATATTGAATAATAGTGAACTTCCCAACGATTTTGGTTCCACCAGTACAATTTTAAGCAAAAAAGTAAGTTTTCATTTAATTTCATTGTAATACCTCTTTGAATTTTTATTGAGAATTACTAAGAAATCCAATCACTTCATTATACTATTTCTGATAATTAATAAATAAACCAAAAATTAAGTATTAAAATGTTTGATTCAATTTTTTTAGGAACTAAATTCACCTCAAAACCAGAAAAATAGTACAAATACTACTAATTTTGAAGATAATGTGAGTAATTTTTAATTTTTATAAATTTACAATGAAATTGTATTATAAATCTTAATTTTAGGTGCTTATTGCATCTCAAAGTATGAAAATTGAAAGAACTTCTAATTCTGAAAACATTGTAAGTAAATATTTTACTATTAAATATAAACAATATTTTTTGAAAAATTTACTCTTTTATATATTATACGCTATTTTTTATTTTTTTTTATGTTAAGTTTAAAAACATTTCAAAAATATTATATCTATTTTATTTATTTTTACTAACTGTCTTTAATAAATACTAATTCTATTAAAGTATGAAGCAATAATAAATTAATGTGGATTGATTTACAAAATAATTATTCATTTAAATTATTGGATAACTTAAATTTTTATAAAGTTTTAGACTGTCTATAATAGAGAAACTTTGTTGTAAATACTTTGAATTGTATACACTTTACATAAGTAAAATGTTGAAATTATATCAATACCACTTATATTCTTCATGAAAAAAATCTTTTATTTAATATAATTCAATAATTTTATCAACAAAATGTAATATAATATAAATTCTAAAAATTATACTTGTTTAATACAATAGAAAAAATAACAAAAGTTTACTCATTTACTTATTTGATCAGAACATTATTATCTATATTTCTTGTATTTTTACTAATAAAAAAAAATACTTTAAATAGTACTAAAAATGTATTTATTTTATTTGCTTATAAGTATTTTGACGATCCTAATTAATTAAATTATTATAAAAATTATTTTTAACAAAAAAGTGTAGTGATGATCAGCAACCATCTACAAGTAAAGAAATTCTAACTTCCAGAATTCAAGAACCTCATTCAAGCAAATGTCAGGTAAATGATGACAAAGTAATTTCATGAATACTTAAATTTAAATTTTGATTTATTTTATAATTAAAATTAACTATTAATGTTTTATTCTCAATACTTAATCATAATTGTGGTAATATTTATTAAAATTTTTAAATCAAATTATTTCAAAATAAAATAAATATATAGATATTTTATTCTCAAAATCTTTGTTAGTGTATATTATTTTATTAATTGAAAGTCAGATATGTATATATTTGAAATTTCCTTATTTTTATTGAACATTAAAATAAATACATTTTTTTAGGAATTAAAGCCTTCTCAAAACAAGAAGAAAAATCTGGCGTGTTCTGATTATGAAAATAGTGTAAGTAAACTGTTGTTTATTTTTATTTTTAAAATAGAGGAAATGTATACCTTGAAGTTGCCTAAACTTGCATTACAAATATACATTTTTTTAGAACTGTTAAAAATATGAAATAGTAGAAGATTATAGAAGGATTTATTTCTGTTATTGGATAGAGTTAGTTGTATTATCTAAATTTTTGAAAAATGTTAAGACTTGTTAATACAATTATTTATATAATTTTTTCACAAAAATTATGATTCAATTCAGATGTATAAGATTTTAAATCTTATTTAGAGTGTAGAAGTACTTAAAGTGACTAGGATTCAGTTTGAAAGTTTTACTAACACATTATTGTGATATTAATTTAAGTAAATTTGTGTTATTAATTAAACAATAAGTTGTTTGATCAACAATCATCTACAAGTAAAGAACATCAAAGTTCTAGTCATCAATAGCCTTATTCAAGCCAATTTGAATGAGATGATGCTAGAGTAATTTTAATTTTTAATAAACTAAAATTTTACATTCAATATTTAACGATTAGGCTGATTACTATTGTACAATTACTAAAAAGAAATAACATGATTTTAATAAATTAAAAATAAATTAAGTAATGATCTTATACATTTATTTTTTGCTGATATTTAATATTTTCATTATTTTTATAATAGCCTATCGAACTGTCTTCAGGTGATGATTTAGAAGAATCTAGTATTAAGGTAAGCTTAATTAATTATTTTTGAATGTTGATTATTTATTTTAACTGCAACATTATAATTATTAAAGACTGAATTGAATTGTTATTGCAACTTTTTTTGCATTTAAGATAAATAAGTACTGATTAAATATATAATCGATATATACTTTTTTGTATTCTGCCTATATAATTTTAAAATGCAATTTTTTGCAATTTTCCACATTTTATAAATGTTTTATAATATTTAAATGTTGTATTTAAACTAATAAAATATTTAACCCAGCTAAATTTATTGAATTGAAATGCTATATTATGATCTACTGATGAGCAGATAATCTTTAGGTGTACTGTAAAGACATTGGTAAAATTATTATTATTATTCACTATTATTCAATATTTATACATAATTTTTTCTATCGTCAGTATTATCTGATATTAATAATTATAGTTTACTAAAATACTAATGGCGTGCATGTTTTTAGTGGTGTCATTAATAAATGGTAAGCCATTAAATATGAACTTGCATATGTAAACATGTACTGGCGTACAAGTGTTATGATAACATTCATTAATTAATCAGCAATAGTTAGAAAACTTCAACTTATTTGTGCTCCAGGGCATGTTTCATTATTTTGAATATAAAATTTTGCTGTGGTGTTTTTGTAATTTTTGTTTTTGAGATGACAATATAATAATTTAATTTTTCAAGGTTTATATAAAGTATCTCTGTTTATGAGATGCCTTTTCGACAACCTATAAAGATAGGTTGGCTAGAAAAAATGCATATTTAAACATTGCAAAAAAAAAAAAATAAATGAATATTGAAGGATTTGAAAAGGAAGAAGTCAAATCAAAAATACTTATATATAATATTTCATCAAATATTCCTGGTCTAAATAGAAAAAATAATGAATGATAAATTATTGTATGTAATTGAAAAATATTAAAGATATCTTTTATAAAGTCATGTCAAGTAGAGCAGATTTTAATTTACAATAATGCCTACCTTATTGAATTGTTTTAAATATACCTAATCTATAACTAATGTAGATGTATTACATAATTTTTCTTTATACAAATATATTTTTTATTGATTAATATATTTAAAGTAATAATTTAATATTTTTAATTTTAATAAACATAATTTGAAAATGTATTAAATTATCAATTTGAATTAAAAAAAGTAATTTTATTTAATTTATTTTATGTAATTTGCATTTTTATATTGCAATTTACTATTCAATTTTTACATATTTTTTGGTGTAGTTATACAAATTATTATACAATTTTGTGTGTTCTTAATGCAATTAAATACGGTTTTTAGTTATAATACATATCAATTGCAAAGTTTAAACTTCAGCTTACTTTATCTAATATTATATATTTTTAATTTTGTATCCATTTAATATGTCTATTAGAAATTATTAATTTCATACATCATATGAAACTTACGATTTAAAGATGCATCCCTTCATATTAAAATATTCTATCTATTAATTATTTAAGGAGAATTGTACCTGGTAATGTACAAACTATAATTGGTTGAAATAATCAAGTATATCTTTAATACATATGTATAAATTGTTCATTAATGCTTTAACTATATATATATTTTTTTTTGCTTTCATTAATAATAATATTTTAATATATTTAGATTCTAAATGGAATGGTTTTACCATGTGTTATTTTTTTTTTTTGTGTCTATTTGATTTCAACTATCACTCTAATCATTACGTTGATGGCCTGTATTTTTTCGAATGATTTAAAAAACTAAAAAAATTCAACCTAGATTAAATTTCAAACTCTTTTTACCTCCTCATGTTATGTATTATTCTACTGCACTATATAGAGTACTTGTATAAGAATATTATAGGCATTTCATAATTTTTAATTGAAGTTTAAACCTACCTTATTAAAAAATGAGATACTATTACTGTATCATCCATATTTAGAAATATAAAATAATCTCTTTCACTAAAAATCATTTTTTTGAGAGTAATAGTTTTATATTGATTTCAAGTTTAAAATACCAATACATCAGTATTATACATCTGACTGTGGATTCTTATCAATTTTTTATATTTTTAGAGTAATGTAAAAATAAAACGGAAGAAAAACAAAGCTAACCGATCTTCATCAAATAAGCCGAAACATAAAAGTCACAAGGTAATTTTAATTTTAACTTCTAAAAATTATTTAGAAACCATTCATACTAATTTATTTAGTTCGTTTTGCTTTTATTTTCCCATTGATGGATTTACAGATTTTATTGTGCTATTGTGAAACATCAATCTCCATGAGACGCTTTCTTGGGGTAGGGGCGGCATATTTAAAAGGGCCTAGGACGGCACTTGTTCTAAATCCAGCTCTAATTATATTAATTATTATTATTTCACATCATATTTTGTTATTTTATTATTATTATCACCTACTTTCTGGTGAGTCAATTGGTCAATTTTGCACATAGTACTCACACTTTACAAAAATATATTATATAGTGCCGCCGTTGCATCATCCCATTATTGTAATTTACTATTTTGTATATTTTACTAAATATTTTTCTTATGTTGAATAAATTAAGTAATTGTTCATTAAAAAATTTTTTTTGAAAATGCAAAAAGACCCTATCTTGGATTTTTTATTGTCTAATAGTTTCAAACAAAAAATCAATTGAAATTTAATCACTTGGCTTCTAATTTATTACTAAAATAATTTAAATTTTCAGTCTCCCTACAATATTAACTCATGAGTCGCTACTGATAGTGAACTGTATTTTTAGGAAGTAATTTATTTATCAATTAAAGAGTTTTGTGTTAAAATATTTGTATTGCGATAAAAGAATAAAAATGTATAATTTTTATAACAATACCTTTTAAAACAAATATCCTAATGATAAGAATGATATATTTTTTACTTTTAATAACAAAAATGAAATTAAAATAATTCATTATAAAGTTTCAAGACTCAATTTGGCACACTTATAATGTAAAACATAAATTTAAAAACACTAATGAATAATTTTTATCTTTTTTTGAAGCTTAAACTATAGTTGAGGCACTTTTCAAGAAAATTCGTAATTTATTTTTGTAGTTTGATGTCTATAGTTTAAATTTGACATCCCGGTAATATTAGTACATAAAGACGTGGTTTTTGAACTTTTTTTTAATTTTGGAATCGTGAACTATAATTTTGTAAATTTTTAACTTTTAGAAACGCAGACGTGAAAATAATGAAGAATCAATTCAAGGAAACATATCCATCAAAGCTAACCCAGGAAACAAGGAAAGAATATTGTTACGATTTGGAAAAACTGTTGAAAATAATTTTGTAATTATATTTATGCTTTACTTAAAATTGAAACTAAAAATGTAATAAATTTTTATTCAGATCTATTTTTGATACTAATTCAGTGTCATAATAAGTTGATTTTCCATTATTAAATTAATAATTTTATAATTAAATAGATAAACCATAAATATAATTTATATTAATAAATATCACTATCATAACCTGAAAGTTAATATTTAAATTACAATAAATATTCATGTTAATGTTGAGTTTTATCTTGCATTAATCTGTTTAATGAACTGATGAAAATAATTTTTAAATATTAAATACAATTATGAAATACATTTATTGAATGTTAATGCAAATTAAACAATTAAATCATTGTTCACTAATTACTAAACCACTACAATTTTATTTGTTTATTAACAATGTATACTTAGTTTATTGACAATAGATGTTAAGTTTTTTTAATGTTTAATTATTTTTTAAACAGTATTATTTAATAAATGGTAAAGAATTTTACGCGAAAAAAGAGTCATCCTCTTTTAAAAAAGAAGCGGAAGATAAAAAAGATGAAGAAGAGAAGAAAAAGAAAGAAAAAATTGAAGAAAAGCGACAGGAAGAAGTGAAAAAAAAGGACAAAATGAAAGATGAAGGGCAGAAAAATAAGGAAAAAGTGCAAGATCAACAGGAAAAGCCATCGGGATATGAATCAATCGATGAAATAAATTTTGATGATTTTAACGATATCAGTATAAGCAGTAGTAGTTGTTCGAGTAAAATTTTTTCTGAAGTAAGATCATACTAAATATTTCTTTTTTATATGAATAATAAATAATTATGAATTTAAGGATTCTTCGGAGTTTTACAGTTCTGATAGCTCCTTTTATGATGAAGAAACTGCATTGCGAAATTATGTTAGAATCAAGAGTAAAAACTTAGACCAAGATTTACGATTTGTAAGTTAAAACAGTTTCCATATACTACTTTGTATTTCAATAATATTTTTTTTAAAATAATAAAAATATTAAATTTATATTTTTAAGAAAACATCACTTTTATTGAAACCCGAAAATATAACAAAAATTGATTTGCAAGACTTTGAGAAAGATCCACATTTGTGTACAACAAGACAAATCATATTAAAAAATTGTAACAAGTACGTGTTTTAATGACCTTAATTTAAATTTAAAATTATAAAAATAATAAAATAAATTTCTTGAACACAATTATTACTTTTATAATTATATACATGTTTAAAATTTTAAAATATTGTATTTTCATTTACAGCAGATTATCATGTACTTTATTGACGACAGACCATAGGCATGTAGTTGCTGGCTCTTTAGATTCCATAATTTACCTATGGGAGAGATCCAATGTAGCAACATCTCTGAAGCAATCATTTGATATTTTAAATAATTTTGATAATATAGTGAACAAAAATAGTGAAAAAAGTTCCTTATCTTCCAATTGTAACAAAAATTTAGTTGAAAGGTAAATTATTTCATCGTAATAATATTTTTATGCTCTAATAATTTGACTGTTATTGAATTTTATGATATTAATAGTTTAGAAAAAAGTAAAGCGTTCATTTTACGTGGACATGGTGGACCTATATTTGATTTAGCTGAAATATCTAAGACTAAAGTACTTCTTAGTGCATCTAGTGATAAAACATTCAGAGCTTGGGATTTAGAATCTAAACTTTGTTTAGAAGTGTATAAGTGAGTTAAATAAATCAATAATTAGTGTTAAATATATATAAAATAGAATTATTCACATTTAAGGAGTACATACATTAGATTAAATTATAACAAAAAAAAGCAATCAATTTTGTGATTATAATTTATTACATACAATTTATGAGTTAATGGCATTATATAACAATTATGTTGGTGATAAAAATATGATGTATCTATTACAATTACTGTTAGTGCTATTTAGGTAATTTTCTTAAATTGGTACACGTATATTCTTAATTACTTTACATCATAGCTTATTACTAGGATTCAGAAGTTATAGGGGTTGCATATTGTTTTGTATGTTCTCGATTTATAGCAGACCAAGCTAAAAATCCGAGCTATACAGTGTTGAATTTAAAAAAAAATTAAAATTAAATTAAAATTTAATTAAAAAAATTAAAAATGCATATTTGGATATTTCGTTAATTTTAGAGAAAAATTGTATATTTCATCGATTTTTATTGATTTTTGCATATTAGTATGCATATTTAATATTTTCTAAAAAAATTAATTTTTTTCATTCTTAACCAATTTATTTTAAATAACATTACATAACACAACACTAATAACACGGAAAACGTGTATCATACAAAACTCGATATTATTTTTCGTGGTTATTTATTGTTATTTTTTATTGTTTACCATAAAGTTAACGAAAATATTAGTGGTTCAATGCAACAACTTAACATGTATTACACCAGATATACTCGTATTTATTTCTTATTTCATAAATAATGAAAATATATATTTTAAATTATTTTTTCAGTTCAATAAAATATCAAATGCCCCAACCGGTTATGGGCCATATTTTAGTTTTCAATAATACAATTTTTTTAACTATAGGTTTTTAGAATTTACTAACTAAATTTATTAATTTTTAATAAATAAATATTTTTTTTTGCATATTTTATATTTTTTTCGTGTATATTTTGCTTTTTTTGACTACTATTACTTACGACCCAACTTATTACAATCAATGGATATACTATTTAATAATTCGGATTATGTATAATTATTCAATAAATTTAGTTCCACGAAAACTTATATATATATATGATTTATATTCACAATTTTATAGTGGACATGATCAGAAGACTTGGTGTATTGCTACTTGCTCAAATTCCTTACAATTAGCCATTGGATTATGTGACGGTATTAGCTGTTTATGGTTTTTAAATTATAAACAACCGTTAAGATTTTATTCTGGTCATCTTGATGATGTTTTGGTGAGACAAAATTATTAAAATAATATTTAAATAGCTACAATTTATAATTACAAATTTATTGTGTTTTAGGTTCTAAAATTTCATCCAAATCAAACGCTTTTAGCATCTGGTTCGTCTGACAAAACTATACGCATATATGATGTAATGAATGGTGATTGTCAAAGACTTTTGGTGGGCCACAAAGATTATATCTCTTGTTTAGAATTCCATCCTGAAAAATCTGAATTTTTAGCATCAGCTTGTAAGTTTCAATACATATTAAGAATTTAGGGCTGCTCTATAAGAATAATTGTTTAAAAAAAATTGCTAAAACATATTTTATAAAATAAAAAATAATTATATTAATAATTAACCAGTTTCTTCGTAATGAAATCAATATTTTTATTACTATATTTTCTATTATATTGATGCTTAAAAAACTGTAAATAGAAACTTAGGACTGATAAGTGTATTAAATTATATGTGAGTTGCGAATCGGTAAATTAAAAACAATGTGTATTATTTTTAACAAAACATGCTTTAATATGGTAAAATATCTTTTGTGTTGATAATTTTTGTACTAATAAATTTTAATTCAACTTTGTTAAAAAATTTATTTTAAGCTGGTTGCGGTGAAGTAATATTATGGAACATATTTTTAAGTAAAATAATATGGAAATTACAAGTGGAAAAAGTGCAAATTTCGGATCTTTCTTGGTCAACTACTTATATACTATTGGCTTCACTAATCACTGGTGTTGTCCTAAAATGTGATATTACGGAGTGAGTGTGATTTTATATTTTTTTATATATAATTAATGATTTTTTTCTTTTAGGGATTATACGAATTCATCCAAAAAAGTAAAAGGATTTTCAACCAATTTTAATCGTTTAATGTATTTAAGCATATTAGACTCTTTAGTATATACAATAGGCATTTCTGGGGAATCAGATTTTCAAAATAAACTAAAAAAAAAACAAGCAAAGAGAGTTTCAAAGCAAATGGAAAATGAAAAAAATTTGAGATCTCAAAGAGAAACTTCACCTTTGTCTAAATTATTATACAGCAAACATATTAAAAACAATGGTACGTCATCAAAACCTCTTTGTTCTTTAAATTCAGCATTTTTGAACAATGATTTTTTGAAAATGAATTTGACACAGCCACCGTCTAACCCAACTATTAATGATGAATCTAAATTAAATATTGAAAATCAATCAGAAAATGTTAGGTTAGTACCAAAATCTTCAAAAAGACTGATATCTGCTGTACAAAATACTTTAGAAGTACCTGTCAAAAAAGGTGTTCAGCTAACTAATTCAAATGTATTCCAAAAAGAGGATAGAGAAACTGATGTACAGTTGTCCCAAGAATCACAACAAAACATTAAATCCCCAAATAAAATTAGACCTCTGTTGATGAATAGTGTACATGTTTCATTGCCAACGTCTGTGACAAATGTACAACATAAACTTGATAACAATAATTTAACAGATGATATTCAACAATCTCAATTACAAAATACCCTAGATTCTGAAGTTCAAAAAACTGATATTGACGTTCAAAATCAGTATCAAATGGAACCACGGAATGAACGTCTTACAGATGATCTAATAAATAGCATGCTTGTTCCCCTGACTGAACAACAGCGACTGCCACTTAATGTTGTAACACATGACTTGGATAATCAACAACAAGAATTAAAGTACAATATTCCATCTGCTGTAAAATCACTAGAACAAGATCAGCAGTTTCAATCAGTTCTAGGAAGTAATACTAACAATACTCATGGTATGGTACAACAGTTACAGTCTAATATAAGTACAACCAATGTTCAAGTTAAACAAACAGATAAGCCTGGTATTAACATTCCACTTCGATTGCTGAACCAACAAGCTAATATTCAATCCTCAGCTGTTAATGTTTCCCAGCAACAACTAGCAACTGTTCAATTACCTAATGTCAATGTTAAAAAACAAAGAAAACAACAATTAAATGTTCAATCACCCAGTGTTAAACTTTCTCCAAAACAAATTATTGTTCAAACAACAACTGCTATACCACACTCAAATTCCCAATCATCCAATATTAATATTTCACAAAAACCGACTAATATTCAAACAACTGCAATACCTCAAGTAAATGTCCAATCGCCCACTGTTAACGTTTCATCAAAAAAAATTATTGTTCAAACGAAAACTGACGTCCCTCAGCAACCACAAGCAAATGTCCAATCGACTAGTGTTAACAACTTTCCCCAACAATTTGGTAATAATGTTCCTAGACGAAGAATAGATCCCAAAACTTTCCCAAATGTTCAAGCAGCACTATTAGGTCTCAGTCGACCTATTAACTCGGGTAAAACATTACAAAATAAAAAATTGCCAAAAAAATAATTAGGTAAAATAATAGGATCTCAATCTATGATTTGGTAATTTCACCAACCTAACCACAGATTTTAACTTGCACAATGAAAACTGATTAATATTTAATTAATTGTACTTAAGTATTATTTATTATTTTTATATATTATTAATTGTTTTTACTTAAGTATTTATTGATATGTAATTTTTTTTTTTTAAATAATTTACTATTACAATTAAAATATTTTTTTATATGAAAATAGTAGTGCTATGATTTATTTATTATTTCTACTTAAATGTTATTGATGTGCTACAATTTAAAATTAAGGAACATTCCTCTTGTTGTTCTTTACTTAAATATTAATTTTATCCTAAAATCAGAGATAAAATATGATATTTATTATATTTTACTGTCATGTAAATAAGTGTAAATAGTGTAAATAAACAATGTAAATATGAAAAAATTACCATGTTGGGTTTTTTTTTTTGATTAGAACAAACGAGTATTAACTTTATTAAACAACTTTATAGTTATTAAAAACAAATATTTATATACATCATAGGTTCCCAATGTGTGCGTCGCGATGTATGTCTAAGGGCGCCGCGCCGTCATGAAATATTATCGGATCTAACATTTTTCTTATGATTAGCCATGCTATGACTTAGAGAAGGGCGCCCTGGAAAAACCTTGGATCAAAAAGGGCGCCTTAGTTGAAAAAGTTTGGGAAGCACTGATATACATAAGAGGATGACCCATAGTTATAGATGAAGAAAAAAGAAATTTTTATTTCTTACTCCTTATATTTTTCATTATTATATGTAAGAAAGGTATTTGAATTAAATTTGTTCATTGTACTAACCCCCTCATGTGCCGCCAAGGGGTTGAAAAATTGCAAAACAGAGTTAGTTTGTCGTTTTTTTTAAATTAATCAATAAACTATTGAACTTATGGTAAAAATATACATAAATTAAATTTACGGATATTTATATTTTTAATAAGAAATAAATCTATACAATTTTTCATACATATATTAACTATTTTATTTGAAAATTTAAGAAATATCTTTCTGAAAAAATGAACTTTTTCACAGTTTTTTTCAAGTATACTATAATTATGGTTGATGATACGACAAAATATCTCATGTAAGAACGATAAAAAAAATACATTTTCTAAAAAAAAAATTATTTTAAGTATGAATTGCATGGAATTAATTGTTTTATTGCAAGAGTCGGGTAAACGTAAGAAAATTAAAAATAAATAGTATAATGTCAATATGAGTACCTATTTAACTCAATAATTATGTTATTTATCATAATAGTATCAAGTCCGCACCATTCTGCTATCGTGCAATTAATTATAAAAATATTTATTTACCTAGTTTTGTGTTGAACATATCTTCAAAAACTCATGATACATAAATAGATTTTTATGACGTGGCGATTCGATTATTTTTTGTTGACCAATTTGAAATTTAAAAGTTTCTATGGATTATAAACATTGTGTACTTTTGATTAATAAATTATGCAAAACTATCATCAAATTACCGACGTCGATTTTAATTTGAAAATATTGGAAAGAATATTTGAATTGTTCATTTCAATTTGTAATTCGTACCTATACCAAAGGCAAAAAAAAAAAAAACTATTGGACTTATAATAAAACTCAATTATAAAGTTTATCGTTATTTTCAAAATTAATACACTTCTACTCGTATGTGCTCCAACTATCAAGCTTTAAATATTTTTTAACTTTTTTATTTGTAGAAAAATTTGCTAAAATATAATCAGAAAACCATTGTCCATTGTCAAGAGGAATGGAAAATAGTTCATAAAACGCATCAGATATTTCAGTGGAAGGTAAAAAAGCTAATCCAAAAAAATACTTTAACCAATTTTAAATTTCTGATTCATTTTTATCATATTCAATTTTAAGTTCCAATTTTCCAATTTGTCTGTACCAAGCTTGTGCTAGATGAAACTGGCAACATTTAATTTGTGCATATGGAAAAATACACAAAATTATAAGCATTTATGATCATTATGAGCAGATAATTCAAAATCCATAAGTATATTTTGAGGTTTTAATTCGTTAGTACATAATGTTTTTATTAAATGCCACATTTTGACATAAATAGCAGTTGTTTTGAATGACAACATACAATACACCACTTGAACGTACATTTATTTATGTAGAACATGAACTGTATATAAAATTGCTCTTGGTTATGAAAATTACAATTTTTGATTCTTCATCTATATGACAAAATATTTCATTACGATGTGTAATAATTATTAATAATCTTAAAATGAAACTTATAGTGTAACGGGTGCAATTTTTCTTTTATCCCATTATTAAGGTACAAAAACGCAAAATGAATTTGCGCTTTTGGTCTATCGAAAAAAATAGACGATTTGCGCTTATAGGTTTGACTACATAACCTCTTTGGTACACACATTTTAAAAGAAGCAGGGCTGTCCCGAAGGAGGGTCTTGAGTGGTCTCATCCCTCCACCACCACCACGAAAACATCATTCGGCAGTCGGACTTGTTTCATTATAGCCTATAAGGACCTAATTTTACTTACAGAAAACAAATATTACATATTTCGTAATACAGTGTATACACGAGTAAAATTTATATAACTACTTATTATACAATATAAAATATTTATATATATATATATATAATTAAATTGTAAATTTTAAGAACGTGCGACACTGACACATATATACATGTTAAAAAGTAAAAATATGACTACATATAGTTAACTATACTACACACATTGAGTAAAAAAATTGTAGTCAGAATTTTTCATATTATTCAACCCCCCCCCCCTTGATTTTCTTTGAGACGGCCTTGACTGGAAGCTAGTGGCAAGTTAAGTATCGAACGGCGGTGTAATGTTTTACTGGCCGTTGACCGTTGGCTGTGCAGGGATATTCGCCCGACAACGTAATACACTACCAAGGCTGGTCCATGGGCGTAGGTATTGGGGGGGGGGGGTGTTCAACCCCTCACCCCGAAATTAAATAAAACAATTCTGAGCTTTTTGTGAATTTGTTCGAGAATTTATTAATTTACTTAATATTAACTTAACTTGTATATTATGTACTAGGTATAATTTGTGGAAAACCACATTTTACATTTTATACTAGTTGTTTTGTAATTATTGGTAATAACATAACAAAATAGTATAGTGTAAAAATACCATAAATCACTTTTATGTTCAATTTCACGGAAATAAATAGATCGGTTTAATCGACGGACCGCGATTATCAGCTAGCGGCAGCTTCAAATTCTTGTTTCCGTTCAAGTCAGTGACGGATTTAGCGTTTTGGCGCCCCTAGACTTATTCACTTTACCACTTCTCCCTATCGTACTACTAAGGAACCAACAATATTTGGTCTAAACCTTTCTCTTCAAATTTTATTCAGTTTTTTTTTATCAAAATAACATAAAATATTAAATCTTTAAAATATAAAACTTCTAAAAATAAAATATTTCATGTGTATTGATTTACCTCAGATACCATTATTACCAGTACAAATAAACAACGCTTATACAGTCACATAACGGAAATATAAATAGCCAAATATGAAAATACCTATACTCGGATAGTCGGATGTTCTCAATAAGTACATAGGTACTAACAGTGGCGTAGCCAGGATTTTTAAATGGGGGAGGGCTAACCACTTTTTTTGGATAAGTAAGGTAAGAGAGGATATGAGAATTCACTCTTAACCCCCCCCCCACCATCTACCACCAAGTTTCTAAACGCATTTTAGTATAGTTTCAAAAATATTTATTAATATATAATTTATAATAATAATAATAATTTTGGTTTCAGTGTTCAGTCACTTGCTCCACTCTGACAGCTGCATTCTCTTAGGCGAATTTTTGGCAAATTCAGTTATTATTTCACTTTCATGGAATTGCTCTTTTTTATTTATATTAGCCATAGCTAATCCATTCAGTCTGTTTTCCGACATGGTGCTTCTTAAAAAAATTTAGTTAAATTTAACTTAGCGAATAAGTGCTGAAAAAGTTCTTTCCGGAGTGAAAGAGGTAACTGGTAACGTGGCGAAAAATTGTAAAAGTATTTTAATGTTAGGTCGAGGATTGGTGCGATGAGAGAGTGAATCAAGAGCAGAATTCGGTTTTGGAATAGTATTTTGACTCCATTGTTGCCTCCATATGAACAGGTCAGCCCTGATTGTAGATGAGGTATCATCATGGAGATCTTGGACATATTTTTAGCAGCTTTCATAATATTTTTATCGTCATACATATTTAAATTGGCCGGAATAAGTCCTTTAAGTGGCATAACATCAATAAGCCTTTGATTAAAACGAGCATTGATTCTATTAAATAGTCAAGATACATTATACATATAAACACGGCTCATGGGGGAGGCTATAGCCCCCTTAGCCCCCCCCCCTCCCTTGGCTACACCACTGGCTACTAATAAGTTATTAATAATAACTATAAAATAGTAACTAATTGTAATTATTTTATTACAAATATTTTCAAATTATAATAATAATTGTAATATTCTTACTATAGCTTAGAGGTACGCATCATACAATGTACATATTAATATATTATTATAACTTTAAAATTATTTTTATATTTATATTTTATATTTTTATATTTATATAACAAATATAAAAAAAAATATATTAAAATAAATATACCTAATAAGTCAATAATAACATTTAATTCTATAAAAAAAAGCCGATGTCTAGTGTACCGGTGTGCAAATAAATGTGTAATGACAAATCTTTACAATAAAGCCTCGTAAGTACTTATTCATGTTATAATATTATTTTATATTTTATTATGTGTCGTGACCATTTGCTCCCAAATTTAATAACTTACTTATTTAAACAAAATAATATAAATAAATTTAATAATAACATTATAAAATAATTAAAAAAAATATAAACTCGTATAATATAAATTAATATAACAAAATATAATAATAGTATTATTAATATTCTTTAGATTTTTAAAATCTACAATGAAGAGGTTGAGCAAACAATCATCGATATCTACATTTATATAAAAAATAAAATCTCTGATTCATATTTATCAGAAACTATTGAAACTATTAATGAAGAACGAACTATAGAAAA